TCCATCCATCCATCCATCCATCCATCCATCCATCCATCCATCCATCCTTTTTTTAACTGCTTATTCCCAAATTGGGTCGTGGGGGAACTGGAGCCTATCCCATTATGGTTTCTAATCTATTCATTTATAATTAAGCTATGTAGCAAGCTTTTTCCAAATGAAATAAATGTTCAAATCCAGTAATGCTAACACTTTATGATAGTGAAAACCTGCTTTTGCATTGATACTGGTCAACGAATGAGGACTTACCTGACGGGTAAGGCTCTTTACGGGTAAGGTTTCTTAGTGATGCCAAGTCTGCGAGGTAATTATGATTTGCTTTAGAACTTGCTGGTAGGTCAAATGTTATCAATGTTAGGGATTAATGGCATCATAATAATATGAAAAAATAGCCAGTTTTAAGCAATTTCTTTCTTCCTGTATTTCTGTTTTTTGTAAAGGGTGACTGGAAATCGAAATGTGTCCTGTTTTGTATTGAATTTAGTTTTTATCACATAGGAATGGACTGACATGAAACTTAGATGGAACCCGGAAGATTATCTGGGCATCATGACTATCCGTGTCCCATCTGACAGGATTTGGCTCCCTGATGTTGTACTGTATGATAAGTATGTTGCATTAGATGTTATAATATTATTATATTATTATTATAGTATGCATTAGATACTATACTATACTAAAAGCTAAGAAATAGTTGCTTGTAAAAATGATCACAATCAACCAATGAAGATTTCTAAAATTATATATATAAACATATTTAGTGTCAAATGTGGATATTTGGGATGGTAATTGTTCATTTAAGAGTTTTGAAAATGTAACAATTTTCTGTCAACAGCTCAGATGGGCGTTTTGAGGGAACTGTCACTAAAGCTGTTGTTAAGTATGATGGGACCATATCTTGGACTCCTCCAGCTAATTACAAATCAGCCTGCACCATCGATGTCACCTTTTTCCCTTTTGACCTCCAGAACTGCTCAATGAAGTTTGGATCTTGGACCTATGATGGTTCCCAGGTGAGTGTCCACTCCATGGTATCTGCAAATGTCAGTTGTGATGATGAGTAAAATGAGATTTCATTCCCATATTTAAATAGGTGGACATTATTCTGGAGGACTTCCATGTTGACAAGCAGGACTATTTTGACAATGGAGAATGGGAGATAGTGACGGCCACCGGCAGCCGTGGTCTGAGAACTGATGGCAGCAGCTCTTATCCCACCATCACTTATTACTTTATCATTCGGAGATTGCCTCTTTTTTACACCCTCTTCCTTATCATCCCTTGCATCGGCCTGTCCTTTCTTACCATCCTTGTCTTCTATCTCCCCTCAAACGGTGGTGAGAAGATTTCTCTCTGCACTTCAGTGTTGGTGTCGCTCACTGTCTTCCTCTTGGTCATTGAGGAGATTATCCCGTCCTCGTCAAAAGCGATCCCTCTTATTGGGGAGTACCTGGTCTTTACAATGATCTTCGTCACACTCTCCATCGTCATCACAGTTTTTGCCATCAATATCCACCATCGCTCTTCTTCTACACATCATGGCATGGCGCCGTGGGTGAGGAAGATTTTCCTGCATCGACTGCCTAAACTGCTGTGTATGCGCAGCCACGTGGACCGCTATGCCACAGGGGGAGAGCAGGGGTGTGTTGGACAAGGATCAGCGAAGGACTCAGAGCCCGAGCTCACCTCTGCTCTCTACACCCGGCACAACCTCAAAGCAGCTTTGGAGTCTATTCGCTACATATCCATGCATGTGGTGAAAGAAAATCAGGTCAGAGAGGTGAGTCTGATCTTTTATTTTCTGACATGACACAGAACAACAGGTTATGACTATATCAATAACGTTCATCAAAGTGAAGCAAATGACACAAAAACCCACCCCATTATCTCACATGTGCTTGAATTTTGTCACAGGTGGTGCAGGACTGGAAGTTTGTCGCCCAGGTTCTGGACCGAATGTTTTTGTGGGCTTTCCTCCTGGTTTCAATCTTTGGCTCGGCTCTTCTTTTCATCCCGGTTATCTACAAATGGGCCAGCATCATTGTCCCTACCCATACTGGAAGTATCCTCTGAGAGCCACAGTTCCAAGAACCGCAAAAGGACGATAAGCACATTAACATCCTTTCATGCCGATGGTCGACAGTTGAAAGAATAAAAGACAAAGGAGTTGTGTACTAAGCTCATGCTATAAACTCTGTTTCAGCAGTTTTTCACAATGCATTCAGACTGGAAATGCAACGAATGAAAGAAGGTTCAAGGCAGACACAGTGCATGTAAAACATTTTAAAAGTGTGTGCTTTTGATGAACAATATTTTCCCCAATAGAAATGCTTTGATGAAGAAAAGGAATGCTCATGGTGATATAAGACAAACCTATGGTGAACACGGCTGCTTAACAGGTCAAACAATCAAATACACATATGTATATATATATGTATATTTGAAATTCAAATTTTGGGGGAGCAAAGATGATTTAAAGATAAATTTAATCCTGTCAACTTGTCACTCAAATAAATGACAGTCCAACAGAACACATTTCCATGGCCCTGTGTTCTCACTGACATCACAATGACCATCACGATTTACAGTTTATGTCTTTCCAGATAAACAAAATATTGAGGTCCTTGGAGAAACAGAACAATCAAGGCACATCTAAAAAAAAAACATTAAACATTCTGGCAAAAGGAAATTCTCTGAGGTAAACATAACACACTCCTGGGCCTCTTTCCAGCTTTTCTTGTTAAGACTTGAAATTCCCAGCACACCCCTTCCGCCTGAGGAGATATCCTGCATTCCTTGAAAACTGTTCTACCATCCATGGGAAAAGCTCAGTATGAAGTGAGAAAGATCTACTCTTTTCACTGATATCTTAGCACAAAGATGTAGTTCTTATCTTTGCTCTGACGAGCAAAAAATACACTCTAAAACTACTTAGAATAAATCTTTTACTGTATGGAGGTAGTTGGACAGTGGAATTGAACAACAACAAAAAAACACTGCCCCTGAGTGGCCAAGTGTCTGCATTACGTCTGAAGGAAAAATAAAGCATAGTGAAAGCCTGAAGGCATTTTGAGCTTGAACTTAATGGGTTTACAGCTAATTTCATTTATATTTCGATACCTCTGATAATAAATACCGAGGCACAATAAACAAGTTCATGCTCCTGTGAAAAATGTAAGGCAGCCTGAACAGAGAACCAAAAGATGTAGGCTGATATCTCCTTTGCACACATCTCACAGTTCGTCATTTTTATAAAGATGCATCACTGTATGTCGCCAGCCGGAACACCTCTAACTTGCAATGCAATTAAATATGAAGAAGATTAAACTTTCTGCGCATCATGGGGAGCATTGATGAATTGCTCATAAACAAGCACACTCCTCAATCTAAACCTTGCAGTGAAGCTTGGTTTTTGAAGGAAATGAAAACTAACGCTACAAACCTATCTTTTTACAGCATTTATTTTCCTAAAGCAGGGATGAATTGCATTTTGTGCATGAATTCTACCAAGAAATGCACGTTTACTGAAAAAGCTGATTGCAAACCTCCATTCATATCTGTTGTGAAATGACATGAAGCATACATTCACAGCTGTTGAAAGGGTGAGAATAACCTGTTTTTTTGTTTTTGTTTACCACAATGTGGTACAGATATTTTGGAACACTTTTTGTCCAATATGTATTCTGCATTTTCTTTATATCAGCATTTACCCCAATACATGAGCATTCTGCTTTATTTTCTATTATATTTAGATGTATAGCCTAAGTATTTTCATTTTAGTGTACTACAGAGAGAGGTTATCAATAACACTGGAATGTTTAGCACGAGGCCCCTTCCACACTCTGTATAGGTTAATATTTACTGTGACTCCAGCTAAAATCAATAACTGGACAGAAAATATTCCCTCAAGATGAAAATATCTCCAAAGAATCATAAAATAAAGTTAAAAACTTAAACTCCAAATTGTAACTGAGCACCAGATTGTAAATGTTGGCAACAAGGGATGAGTTGTACATAGAGTTAAACCTCAAGTCCTGAGCAGAATTAACTCAAGCCTGTGCAGTACGGTCTCAGAGGCAACCTTTGTCTTGTTTCCAGAAAAACAGAAAAAAGAACAGTAAATCTATAATCCGCTTATGTAAGCTTTTTGTGAATGTGCAGTTACATATTGACTTGTGCAGTACTCAGAATGTTTCACACTGGCCTCTGGGGAACAGCACGAGTGGAGCCACTCAAGTTAGAACAGGTGGGTCACATATTCATTTTGAATGTAATCTAGTTTTATATTCCTTAAAAAGCAGCTTGCATACAGAAAGCACTTCATTTTACATGCAGGAATAGGTCTTTTTTTTCTAATACTGAATGACTCCTTTTCTCCATATAGGTTAAATATGACCTCCAGTAGAAATACAGCACTTCTTCTCATACTAACTGCAATTTCCTTGTCAATGGGAAGTGCTCACGGAGGCAGGATTTTAATTGTACCTTTGGAGGGAAGCCACTGGGTCAACATGGACATCATGATCAGAGCTCTCCATTTGCGAGGACACTTGATCGATGTGGTTCGGACAAATCAAAGCTGGTACATCCAAGAAGACTCACCACACTACAAAGCCATCACCATCCCCGTCGTTAGAGCTTTTGACCATCATTTCATTGATCCCATCCTTAAAAAGATCATAGCTATAGAGAGGGGGGAGAGCCCTGTAATGAGCTTTGTGAGTTTGCAGGTAGAAATGTTTAAGGCGATGTTAGATGTCCATGGAATGATGTGCACAATGGCTTCCACCATGTTTGAGGACAAACAATTAATGAACCGTTTAAGGGCAAATAATTATGACATGGTTCTTACTGATCCAGCATGGGGGGCCGGAATAATGTTGGCTCATGCTCTCAAACTCCCTCTTGTCTATAATGTGAGATGGATTACTAGTGGGGAGGGGCATTTGGCTGTTGCGCCCTCGCCTTTATCTTATGTTCCAATGACAGGCTCGGGATTCACAGATAAAATGACTTTCACACAGAGAGTCAAAAATCTACTTTTTTATGCCATCTGGGAAGCACAGGATGCATTTTTGATTCGTCCTCAGTATCAAGCTGTTTGTGACAAATTCTTTGGCTCAGGAATCACTTACGGTGAATTATTAAGGGGAGCAGACTTATGGCTCATGAGAGTGGACTTTGTGTTTGAATTTCCTCGTCCCACCATGCCAAACATTATCCATGTCGGCGGGTTCCAGTGTAAGCCCTCTAAGACTCTTCCTGAACATTTGGAGGAGTTTGTGCAGAGCTCTGGAGAGCATGGCGTCATCATCATGTCTCTGGGAACTTTTGTGAATGAACTTCCTGATGACGTGGCAAACGGAATTGCTGCAACATTTGCTAAGTTGCCACAGAAAGTCATCTGGAGCTACAAAGGAAGGAGACCTTCCACTCTGGGAAACAACACTTTAGTGGTGAAGTGGATGCCCCAGAATGACCTTTTGGGTCATCCCAAAGTAAAATTATTTGTTGCTCATGGAGGGACCAATGGAGTCCAGGAGGCCATTTATCACGGAGTCCCAGTTGTGGGTATCCCCTTGTTCTATGACCAGTATGACAACCTGCTCCGTCTGGAAGAGAGAGGAGCAGCTAAGACTCTCACAGTGGCAACAGTGGACAAAGATGACAACTTCCTGGAGGCCATACAAGCTGTCCTGAACGAGCCATCTTACAGGATGAACATGCAGAGACTCTCCAGGTTGCACAGAGATAAACCGATGATGCCGATGGATAGCGCCCTCTTCTGGATAGAGTTTGTCATGAGACACAAAGGAGCGGCTCACCTGAAAGCCCAGGCCTACAGAATGCCCTGGTATTCCTATTATTCCATAGATGTAGCGCTGTTTGCTCTGGCCATTTTCACATTGACTATTTTAGGAACTGCTCTGTGTTTTAGGTCGGTGTGCCATAGGCAACACCTAAAAAGAACGAACAGTGAAAACAATAAAAAACATAATTGATGCCCTAATCTGTCAACTGTTAGCTTTGAATTTAAGAAATGTTCTAAATTCAAAGGGAAGTCATTTTAATAAGTAAAGAAATCAAAGAAAATACTTCCATCTAAAAAGCAACTACAGGCTTTGAGGCCCTTTGGTGGTAGAAACGGGACTGTTGTTGACACAACTATAAAGCACGAACATGAACTTCAAATGATTTTTATTTCATGTATGATGAAGACTACATATATTAACATTTTACCAGAGCTGTAAAACCATCAAACCAGCATCTCTTTTTAGAGGCATCTCATTCCCAGAATGACAGACTGATATATACCTGTTAACATTTTCATGTTAACAGGTCTAGCACAAATAGACTCTGTGTTATTCAGCAATGCATCCTGGTCTTTGTTGTTTTGATGACACTGTAACTTTAGTAAGTCTTCACAATTCCTCTCCAACAGGAATTTTGTGGCAGCATTTAAAGAAGCAAGCATATTATTCACTGGTAAACATATATGCAGGAGTGAATGCATAGAGCATAAAAAACAAATCACACCCCAATAACTCCACATGGGGTCTGCTGCACGTTATGATGACAAAAACACAGAACGTTGAATTTCTAAACTCAACATAAGGATTTTTTAGAAGGTGACAAAGAAAGCCTCCCGGTTTTCTGTTTGAGTCATTTTATTTTGACATGGCAACAGCAGAGGATGTCAGTTGCAACTTCACTTAACTTAAGGCTAAACAATACGCATAAGAAGTATTCTAAGAAGTATGAAGTACAATTTTTATCAAGATTTCTAATTCATTTTAATGTAAAAAAAACCTTGACTTACACATTTACATTGCTAAAGGGGGAAAACAGGAAACAGCTATTTCTTTAATCAAACAGTCATGTTGAATGAGTGCATCCTTAAACCTGTACCACATAGTGACTGCAATAAGTTGCTGAGGCATGGAATAAACTAATCATTGTTGCAACAAATCCAGAAGGCCATTAAAGCATTTATCTCTGTTGAACACTCTGTGGACGCTTTTTGTATTTGATGGATGCCGTGTACAGTGGAGACCGAGCTTCTCTTCGTGCATGCTCAACTTCTGTGGTTAGACAAAGAGATTATTTCTGTTAAGTCTTACAAGTCAAACTTGTCTCTTGTGAGTCAGAATGCACGGGCCACAAAGCCTTTCACATCTGCCTGGCTGCTGCAAATACACATGTGGATTTCCTGTAAGATATTAATACGAGAACAACATTTCTTGTAATATTCTCCACTTGTATTAAATCTCACTGCAATGTTTTTTGTACTGGAGCATATGCTTTTTCAATATTACCCTTAGCACTTAAATCTTTATCAGTCTGTTTGGAACAAAGTCATACATGTGCTTTTGATAAGACAATGATAAAAATAAAATAATTACAAATAATCTACACCACCACAGTTTTCCTCAGCATTGCAAGGTTTAGTCTTACCTGCAATACTGGAATACTCTCCCCCACACTCCTCAAATTCTTCATACTCTGTGCAGTGTTCAGCAACCTGAGCACTCTGGCGCCTGATTTAGAAAAAATTAAACTATTATTAAGATTATACACACACACACATACAGTCTTCAAGTAGACATGATAGATAGATTTTATAGTTAATACAAACTTCCTGATGTTTAGTTGGTAGTGGTTGCACATGTTAATTCAATTTTTTCTAAATGAAAGTTAAAGTCAGTTTGAATATTACTTAAATGGTTCATTTGTCTCTGTGTGCATTGTGGAAATAAAATGGCACAGTTATTTCTAAAATTTGTTTGGATTCTTACTCTACTGCTTCTTCCATGCTGAACGAGTCCTCTCCTCCTAATAATAAAAGAGATACTTCAGTCATTGAGAGACTGACAAGCAAAAGCCTTGATATATACTTAATATTTTGCATTCTTATGATTATCAGAATAACCTCTCCCAGAGATGTTGTTACAGGTATTAACATTTATAAAGTTGGAATACATTTTTTACATGATTTGAAAAAGAACTGGGAGCTATGTTTGCTCTCTAGACTCTCTAAGAGTCGGTTGTGATTCTACTATAAACACACCATCAAGTGACTCCACATCTTCTTGCTCTGAATGTTCCAACACATCTGCATTTTCATCCTGACTCTTTGGGTTGTGGCTGTAAGAAATCAAGTTCTCAATCATTATAGTCCTCTTAGCTGTTTGTTTGCTGTGACTAATTCAAACAAATAAATATAAGCTCACCATGGATTTGATAAAACTCTGTGGCCTGTTGACAGCAAAACAAGTAAAATTGAGTAGAAAGTTGCTATGAAACAGTACACAGATTAAGTTTTATAGGTCTGATGAGACTATGCGATGCAGCTAAAGAAGCTAGTCCAAAATATCATGAAAATGTCATTAAAACTGAATTGGTTATTTGTTAATTTTTTGTTAGAATCTCATGACCTTGACTGTTTGAAGTCCACCACAGAACCATTCCAAAGAGCAGCAACAGCATTATCAATCCAAATGGGACAGCCACCAAAGGAGAGAAAATGACTAGAAAAACATTGGACTTTTATCAGTTAATAGAAGAAAAGATTCTTTTTAATGAAAGAAACAAACTCAAACATGATTACATGGGTTCCTTACCTTTGTTGACTTTAAGAACCACAACATTTTTTCCATAGATCTGTTTCTCATTTTCTTTGACGCAACTAGACGGCAGCAGGGTGCAGCTGTAATCACCCGAATCCCTCACGACTGCACCTTCCATAGTGAAAGAGGCCTCCTTCTGAGCAACATCAAATACCATCACTTGGAAGATGCTTCGATTCTTCCATAGGTAAGCGTAGATGAACTGACATTCATCAAGTGAATGCAAAATGTCGGAAAACGTACACTTGAATTCAACATCGTCCCCTTCAGAAACAGTCGGCCATCCAAGTACAGAAATGTCTGCTGGAAGAGAATTGGCTGCATGGCCATCGGATAATTAATTAGCATAAAGGCATAACAACTACTTAAACTATTCATAAGAGAAAAAAAAACTCACCAATAACATGAATTTGAATGGTGTTGTGTCCTGTCCCGGTAACGACGGAGAGGGAATAATTTTGAGGGGAATGAACACAGGTGTAGTTTCCATTGTGATTAAGGTTAACTTTAGAAATTTTGAAGGTAACATCGATCTGGTCTTGCTTCAATGTCATTCTCCTGAATTCTTTCCCATCTTTCAATAAATAAACGATGGCCATAGAGTCTTTTTTCTTCCCAAAGGTGCTACAGGTGACATAAAGGTCATCATTCTCGCTTATGGTTCTCTGCGGGGCCAGGATCTTTGCAGGAGAAATATCTGCATGATACATTTTAGACTGATGAGAAACTTCCATTAAAAATGACAGTGCACACTCTCCCTTAAATTATGTAAAAGTTGCTCACCTGTGGACTGGGTTATGACTTCTTTTACGAAAGCACCTCAAAGAAAAAAGCAGAAATTGTCAAATTTAAAATTGCAGAGACAGTTTGAAACACAGTTCATCTACTCACAGAAGAGGAGGCTCAGTCTTTTCATCTTAATATGATAACTGTTCCACACAGAAACAACCTGTTCAGAAGACCCTTTGATGCTTTGCAGATGCTGCTTTTAAGCTCCTGTCCACACCAACAGAAACCTTAGAGACTGCACAGTATATATTTATATGTATAACTACTTCCTGTGCGGGCTATTGTGTCCTCTTTCATTTAAAAACTCGTGCTCCAAATTTAAACTGACACTAGACTGAAAGTGATGCAAAAAAACAAAGAATAATCACCGGGTCAATCTGAACTCAGTCCACCAGACAGTATCTGTTTGAGAGATCTGCAAACCAGCTGCATGAGTTCTGAGGGAGCTTTGATTAAATGAATTATCTAGGGAACTCTTATCAGAGAAGACCTTGAGTTAAAACACATTCTGTCTGCCCTTCCCTGCAACAGTCCTATCAGAACGGACTGTAATTACTGAGCTTTCCTTTTGCTCTGATGTTTCATTTGTGAATTAACTCAGGCAATCGCATGTTCATGGTCAGAACTCACGGAGGATTTTTATGGCTCTTTTAAATTTGTCTAACTCCAACACATACAGATACAGGCTTGTAAAATTAGAACTGACATGTATCAGCATCTGCTTTCCCTCTACCACACAATCCTTTTATTTTTCACATATGTTGTAAAGCTTTTTGCATAGGAAGCTTTTCACTGTCTTCAAAATTAGTGGGGATTTCAGTATTAAACATCCTTCAGAAGATTTATTTAATGTGAGGGCAAAATCAACCCCTGGTAATATTTGCCGTTATTCTGATGTGTAGCTTTTTACCGTCTGATGAAGTGTTATTATCGGAAAAAGCTCTGATTTTGTATGTTGAGTCTGCATTAATCTGGAATAAACAGTGCCTCTCAAGTAACAAGTCACAACATCACTTCCAACTACATGTTGACTTTGATCTCTTCAAAAACTTCTAGAAATGAATTGCAGTAAGGAGATGTTACCAGATGATGTCACCAGCATGCATCATTACTGAGTTTCTTGTAATAATCTAAATTCAATTTCCTTTAAGTGGAGAAGTTATAATGCAACGCCTGAAATTATTCATGCCCATATCAAAGTTAAGGAAGTTTTGTGTAAAAAAGATAAGATTCTCTCTGCTGGATATCAGTTTAATATGAAATGTATACATTCCGCTTGAGATCTTTATGGAAAACTGGAATCTTCTTTAGCTGAATGTGCAAATCCTTCCTAATGTCTGAAACAAGTTCCATAATTTTAATAAAAGAGAGCGCAACCATCCACACTATTTCACACGGCTCTGGTTTATTTATTTTTTACTCTGTTCAGAGTGACTAGACACTGGACACCTTAGGGCTTAGTGAAAACATCTTGTAATAATACACATTTTGGCAACTGCCAAATGGCTACAATGCAAAACATCTGCATATGTTAGGAGAAGCCTGAATATTTCCCAGACCAGTATACACTTTAATACTTGAACCCCAGAAAATGGCATCGAGATAAACACCAAGATCTTCACAAAAAATCAAAGAAACATTACAGGTTGGACGGATGCCTGCTGAGATGTTTGAACAAAATAAAGAGCCTAACCCATTCTGCAAGAGTTGGGGTACACCCTGGATAGGGCTACACAGAGACATACAAGACAGACACATGAAAAGGCTCCCAAGCCTGGGCCCTGTTCCTGTGAGGAGACAGTGCTCATCACCACACCACCGTACCACCCAGCATTTCTAAAATTAATTGAAGAGATGGTCCACACAATGTTAAATGAAAACAATCAACCAAACTGACAAACTTTTGCTTAGATATCACAAGCAAGAGTGTAAACAATGATTATGAGGATCCACAAGATGTCAGACTCCGTATCAGATTTGTCCTATAATTACACACAATATCCTATTAAGAATGATTGATACTATATGCAAGCACCTTTTTCTAGTTTTAAGGGTATTTCTGCTGTGAATATTTAATTTTTAAGTTAATCTTTCAGAGTTTACCTTGACTTTTTGCTTTCAGCTCATGTGGCATACAGGACATATGTTTGTGTACATTTGTGAGAATTATTGGACAGCTAAAACATCAGTTGTATCATTGGTTTAGCCAGCTGAGCCTACCTGTGTATAAGATAGCTTCAGACAGCATTTATTGACAGAATATTGTTAGAATGAAGACCAAAACCAAAAAGAACAAAGATAGCCACACTGTGTATTAAGTATGCCAGCTCTTTTTTCTTCACCGGTGTGTCCGGGTGATGGATGCCCATACAATACAATTTGTGGCATTTCCTTTTAAATCAGAGTCTGTTCAACATGAATTAGCCAACAAACTATTCCAGCCAACAAACCACTGGACAAGAAAACAGACAAACAAAAATCAGGGTCCCAATTACTGTTTTTCTCTTTGTACTCGCTTAATGTTTCTTCTCAGTTCACTTTTTTTTAACCTGTTACCTGTGCCACAGGTTCTGTGCGGGATATTTTCCTGAAAGTGAATTAAACGTCCTCTCCAAGTAATAGAGGCTGGAGGAAGAGGCCAGCTGTTCCCAGGATACACACGAGGACAAACACCCACAGGAAGATCCTGTCAATAACCATAGCTACGTACTTCCAGTCATCTTGAACCTGTGAGAGGGTCACAGTGAGAAATTGTACAGTTAGTGACATTGTCATTGTTTACTTGTTAGCAAGTTACTTAAGACATTTTGAACAAATACAAACGTTTTTAGAATATGGCCTCACCTCTTTTGCTTCGTTCTGCAATCTCATGTTCTCGGCTATGTATTTAACGCTCTCAATGGCTTCCCTGACCTCAGGGGAGAGCGGCAAAAGGGACATTATTCCTCCATCCAGAGACTCAGAGCTAGAGCACTGACTCTCCTCTCCACCACCTAAGGCACTGGCTCTGGTCAAGGTCCCCAGGCTGCCAAGTCCTCCGCTCCCTCCTCCAGAGTCTGAAGGCAGTTTGCCAGATCTTTTTTGCCAGCAACAGTTGCAGCGCCCTTCGCGGCACAAGAAGCCCGAGCCTGCACATTTGGTTGAGTCTCCGCTTAAATTATTAAGATTGGAGAGCTCTGTGTTGTTAAAATGGTGCTGGCGAGATGTAAGGCTGGACACCATGCTGGAGGCCAGAGCCTGAGGCTTATGCTGCTTCTGTAGGGCGCCTGACGAATGAACAGCACAGGGTCTCAAATGCACCGCTTGAACACTGGCAGCCACAGCCACCTTCTTGGGGTCCCTCTCTGGCCTGGTCATGAACATCACTCTGGGTAGCAGTCCGAGAAACACATTCCGTACCCAACAGGGCATGGTGTGCGTCTTTGGCGTGCGGTAATGGACATTCAACACAAAAACTGTGATGACGATAGAGAGGGTGACGAAAATCATGGTGAAGAGGAGGTACTCGCCGATCAGGGGAATTACGAGTGAGGTGGAAGGGATGGTCTCTGTTATGACGAGGAGGAAGACAGTCAAAGACAGCAGGACAGAGATGCACAAGGTGACTTTCTCACCACAGTCAGAGGGCAGATAGAAGACGAGCACCGTGAGGAAGGAGATGAGCAGGCAGGGGATGATCATGTTGATGGTGTAGAATAGAGGCAAACGTCGGATGTACAACGAATATGTGATATCTGTGTAGATCTCCTCACAGCAGTTGTACTTAATGTCGTGTTTGTAGCCTGGTGCGTCAATTATCATCCACTCCCCCGTCTCCCAGAAGTCCTTAAGGTTGATAGTAGAGCCAATCAGCACCAGGTCAATCTTAGCTTTATCGTACGTCCAAGAGCCAAACTTCATTGTGCAGTTCTGGTAGTCGAAAGGGAAGTAGGTGACGTCTATCTTGCAAGAGCTCTTGAATATTGCAGGAGGGATCCATGTAACATCCCCATTGTAGCGGAGCAGCGCCTTTGTTTTGTCATCAACCTGAAAATCTCCAACTGCACTGTATTGAGAGATGGAGAGCATGGTTAAAGAAGAGGATGAGAGGGATGACATACAGTGAAATTACATAAACAACTAACTACTGTGATTAAGATTAATAAACTTAGGCTAAACTAAGACAGATGTTGCTTGTTCCTGTAATGAATAATCATACTTAAACTTATCATACATTTGATATCATACTGACTTGTTGTATAGGACAATGTCTGGCTTCCATATCCTGCTGGACGGTACCCGTATAAACTCAACCCCTCCAAATTCTTTTGGGTTCCATTTGAGTTTATAGTCATTCCAGATCTGAAACATATTGCATCAAACAAAAAATTATGATAGAGCAAAGAAATGAAATTGTGAAGGACGTTTCATCAGTAACAGCTCATATCTTTGGTGCTATCTTGAGTTTTATTACGAAATCCAAATGTATCTATTATTAATCTGAAAACAACGATATCTAAATAAAGTGTTGTAATTTAAAAATAATACATTAAATGAAAGGCACAAGAAACATAAAGATGAATGAATCACACATACAGAGTATTGCAGCCGTCAGGACGAGGTGTAATAAAGCAGTGCATTGTTCTATCTAAGTTTCATTTCCTTCATTATTTGGAATATTTGTCCCAATCTTTGACAAAGAATGGGTGTCTCAGAGCTGATCTGTTTGTCAAACTTAAGTCCTTCTCATTTTAATTAAAATTAAAAATTTAAATAAACAACAGATTCTGATTAAACTAAAATAGCTCATGGCGGTCTCAGGTAATAATTGGGTTGCTGATGTATGGTTTGAATCCACCAACCACAAACCACCTCATGATGGAGCCAGAGATGGAGTTTTAAATTTGGTGAGCTTGAGTTTAGGCTGAGCATTCAGCTGTTAGTGTCCTTTTCCAGTAAGAAATTGCCATCTTACAAAAATATCAGGAGAAGATGGCCAATCAAAAAGAAATAATCCTATCAGTTAACTTCCATCATGAGGTCTACATGTCTTCTACTGGTTAAACAATTGGGCAATAAATGTTTTCTACTGTTGGAAAACAAACAACTGTAAAAAGCTGAGTTCTTTTTGATTATCACATTTGATTAATTTTCCAAATAAAACGCACCAAAGAAAATTATTTTAAAAGTGATAATGTCTTACTGCCTTGTGAACAGATTTTACACCTTGACATATGTGGGAATAGATCCATGAGATCATGTAGTGTGTTTTATGGACCTTTTGGTCACATGGATTGAACCACTTGATGAGAGGGTCAGTCATCCTCGTTAACTCCTGAAGCTGCAATATTAAAGTACCCCCAGAGGACTGTAAGAAGTCACTTAATTACAAAACAGTACATGTTTTCATCAAACTGTCTCACTGGGGTTCTTTTTTAAGTTCCACAACGCTAAAAAGAGGCAGCTGGTCAAAGTAATATCGTTAAGAACTAATGCCACTATAGTTAACACCAAAGTTTTACCACTGCTCAGCTATTTAAGACTGAGGTTCATTAGCTGAGGGCTCGTAAAACAAAGGCCTGTCCTCGTTTCTCTCACACATGGTTCATACACTAGCTTCAAATTTGTGCTAGCCTGTATTTCTAAAATGATTACACCCAGATGACTAACACCTTCAGGTCCAGTTTGACAATGAAGCGGAGATTTCTTTGAAATGACTACGTTCAATTAAGTTAACTTTTTAGGAATCCAATCTGCTGTCAAATAATTTAGAAATTAAGAACAAAATGGTAACTAATTTCAAGTACTTGATATATTTTCCTCATATCAAGTAAGTTCACATTGATCAATGTATTTAAACAAGGTAAAATAAATTATTCATGCATAATCTATCCTGTCAGTTTGGCCCCAGAGAATCCCCTATGACAGCAGTATGGATCCATACCTGATGCCCTTGCTCAAGGTCTGTTTTAACAGTCATGGACCACAAACTTACATGCCTCAGCCACAGATTGGTCTCCATGATCTGATTGACTTCATCCTGAAAACAGAGTAAATTTGATTATACAGACATTAAATCAAAGGACAGCAGATAAATGTTTACGTCTCAGTCCAAACCGGAAAACGGCGGTCACCACTGAGAACTGTCTGTATGGTCAGGATTTGACATGTGCCAAAGACAAGGATTCAGGGAAGCGCACCTGAGTCCTCCCCGTCTGTTGCACAGCATATATGACAACTGGAGCCGGGAGGTTCGAGTAAAGCCTTCTTTTTTCCCCCTAACAGTTCACTTGTAAAGCAGGAGCAGAGGGACTAAGTAATTGGGACAAGAAGCTGGATGGGACAGCTGTGACCCGGACTATGAATGAACCAATCCCATATGCCAGAGCACAACATTAACCATTCATGTGACCGCTTTTTATTTTTATTTTCCAGGAAACTCACAGGTCTACTCACAGGCAGACAGATGGCCCAAGCTTAATCTATATTGATTATCTTTGGGAGAACCTGCGTTTGATGGAACTTTTACAATAAACACCAACATCCATTCACACAAGGGGAATATGTATTGATTCTAATCAGTTTATTCATTGGAATTTTATATCTAAAAAACAACAAATCTGTTTACTCTTTTTCTGTTTTTTTTATAAAAGTCACAAAGTCACTCTCACTCTATTTTTGACTCCCCTTAATGGTTAGATTTCAATCACAATCAAACTAAGACTCTAACAACCTGAAATATTTGGAATGTCTTTCTTTCAATAGGGACTGGACTTTGGTAACAAAACACATCCTGCCATTGCGAAGAGAGTATGAGCTCTGATAGTGGGATGATGACAAGCAGCCCAGCCGATGAGCTATTGATTGACCAAATTAACCCAAGCAGTAATTGGTGGAGGCGAACCAATATCAATTGCTTCTGGGTTAACGACACCAAGTGTTGCTGAGGGACTGTAGTCATCCATCAAGACTTTCTGTTTTCATCTTGATATATTATCAGGGATGTTTCTTGGGTTGAATTAAAAACATACGTATATACACATTTAAACAATTGTCTCTTTTTCTTTTCCTTCTTTTGAACAAGACAAGTCCATAATTGTTTTTTGGCCTCTTGGGAAAATTGTTCATATTGCTTATTCATTCATAGAGGAAAATAGAAGTGTATGAGCTGTATGAAAATTACACATGAGAGGCTAAAAGAACCCTTACTTGACAAACTAGTGAAAATATGCACTTTAACTATTTATTTAGCCAGGTGTTAAGTAAATAAGTGAACTGCACAAAAGGTGTAAGTGCCCCTTGAGTACACTTTTTTCTTTTTTTCAGTTCTCAATTTTTGATTTAATGAAATACAAAGCATTTTTTCCCCTTCACAAACAAATTAAATACGCCTTCTTTTCATCACCATCTCTGCATCTGTTAGTGTTCCTTTTCCAGGTGTCTTGGTTGACTGGTCTGTAATCAACAAACTTCAGCAAAATCCACCCTCAAAATGGAGGCTGCTCATCTTAAGCAGTGGTGATAGAGTGATAGAGGCCGCCTAGCCCCAGATCCCTCGGACAGCTGACATTTCCCATCTTGTCTTGCCCAGAGAGACAGCCACTCTTCCCTTGTTTTTGTCTTGCTCCTTCCTCAGAACTATAACCCAGGGGGCTACTGTGTATTGGCCAAGAAGGTCGCAGGTGTTTGAAATGGCATCCCAGTTCTTTACATTTGTAATACGTTTTTTGTTCAAATAAGTGAAGAATTGGATAGACAAATTAGAGGCCTATTCTAAGCTTGGACTTGCTTTTTTCCGAAGATCATCTAAAATGTTTTAACTTTTTTCATGTTGCATCGATAGAGCAGAGTGATGTACAGTATTTTCAAACGCAGTACCCCAATAATGATAAAAAAACTAAGGACATTAGCAAAGAAAATAAAGGAAAAATCTTTTGGTCACTTACCACTTTGACCAGCTGTGACATAGACACCTCAAACTGCACAATGACTGGGTCGGACACATTTTCCACTGGTCTTATGTATTGGTTATACTTGGAGAATATCACAGAGAAGAGCTTATGCTCTGCCTCTGAACAGGTGCCTCCTGACCAAGAAAAAAAATCAGATATGGATCATTTGGTGCTACATTGTTCATAATCAAAAATTTCACATTCTTGCGTTTCTCCTCAGGTTTCCCATCAGTCCTAAGCAAAACATCTGAAATCACTTCAAATGTAATCCCTCACTCTCAATTAACTGAAACCAAAGCTACATGAAATCCATATTATTGTGAAATTATATGTCCATAATGTTTAAATTTAATCCATGCATCAAATGTGATAGATTTTTTAAAGGAGAGCTTCCAGAGATATTCCTATTATCTTATGCATCTGACGCACCGTTATAGAAAGCAACAAGTTAGGTAACATGTCAGGAAAATCAGACTATTACTCACCTGTTAGAAGATTCAGAAGTAACAAACAGCAAGGAAAGATTAACCAAAATCTGCCCTTCATGCTGTCTCAACTGACAGATGCCAAATAATCCAGGGTCAGCGACAGCAGAGATCGGTGAAGCCCACAGAGGGGGAAAGTGGGATGAGTGAAAGTGTGTTTGCTGCTGCAGACTGAACCACGGAGCAGGGGGAGGGAGGCAGAGCTCCACCGAAGTGAGCAGCCAGTCAGTGACTAACTGAGGCGAGCCACACAGAGCAAAATGTGCAACCAACACGATCGGAGCACAATCAAATAAAAGGAAACATTTCAAAGGTTACAATTAGCTAAAAATTATGAAAATATTTAAATTTCCTCAGGAAATTAAGATATCATAGATTAAAATATAACAACCGCCTTGACATATTGTTAATAAAGTCTGTTATGTCACTAGGAAGCATTTTCTTTTTATTCCGAGGATTTTTTAAAACAGCGATTAAGTTATTATCATTATATGTTTTTTTTATTAAGTTCTGCCAAGGAAACATGTTCCTTTCCTGTTTTTTACTCGTGTTGATCATAGGTGCAATTTGCTTGTGCTTTCAGTCACGTGGGAAATTAGGACTTTAACAAGACCGTCTGCTTCTCTCTACTCTATTTATTGTTTTAGTTTATCTTGTGATACTTTTGTTTTTCAAAGTGTATCTCAGTGATTTATGGCGATTGATAGTTTCTGGTCTGTCCGTGTCTGTCCAGTTGTATTTTTCTCTCAGTTGGACAGCAGTGCAGCCCAGTGTTCTGTCCTTCAGCAGGAAGAAGTTGAGAGCCAAGTGTTTTACAGCTGACAGGGGTTGAGTCATTGTTACAGGAGAAATATATTTTCAACAGGATCAGGGACACAACACTTTAACTTCTTTAGAAGAAGAAGTGAAAAGAGAGCAGCAACATATTATATAATGAAAATGACTCATTTGTCTTTCAAAAAGTTTTTATTTATTCAGACAAAAGAATCTTTGTACACCTTTACTTGCCAGATGCTTGAGACATACAACAAAACTGTCTTTCATTATAAATCAATACTGAAATTTGAACTTGGACTGAAAAATAGAGAGGGCTTCTTTATGCCAAATGTTAGATTCTTCTTCGTAGAGTAGAGAAGTGAAGTCAAAGGTTGGACAAAGAACTGCTACTGACTTAGGAGCGTGATTAATATCAGCATAAATTTTATATAAACAACCAGATTTGTTTTCATTGCAGTTGTGAGGTATTTGGACTTTATTTCTGCAGTAACGCTGCATAGCCTGTCTTCATAATAAGGTGAGTGAGAACTTTTATTGATTTTATAAAAGAATCAAATACAGCAATTCTGTCTGTCAACACATGTACTAATTGCTATCTGTTGATTTAATGGAAGTTCCCCCTGAAGTACCAGAACTCTGCAGAAACGAGCCTTCTCAGCAGTGTTTATCGAGCTGTGAACCTCAAATGTTTGTTAGTTTGTGTGCTTCCATCTATGTGTTCCTGTGATCATCTGGGCACTTATCAAAGATCAACTAAAGATTGAATAAACAAAATTGGTTGTCTTTTCTCCATTTTAAACCTTGATATATTTTTGTCAGTTTCTATGAAAAGACACATTACAATCAACACTAGTTTCAGCTTTTTTTTTTTTGCTTGGTCACACATTCTCAAATTCAAAGTGATTGGTTGTCTCTTCTTTATGATAAAATGTTCTACCTGGCACATCTTCACTCAGCATACTGGCACAGCAAACACATTTTATCACAAGCTGAACAGATTAACAAAGCACTTTGGCAAGACCCTAACAATTTTAAGACTTTTGTAGGCATTTTATACGTTTAATCAGACTAAGAGAGGACATTATTACATTTCAGTGTCATGGTAACACAAATCAGGAGTTAAACAACATCAACAAAAGCAACAGTTTTTCCCCCCTACACAATTCAGCATTTCTCAGTGCAAGAGACATTCAGTTCAGTTGGGCTGCTGCCTGTTGTAGCTCTAACTTTACTGACAAGACCTCTTTTCAATCATGCTCCTTTACAGGTGTAAGTACCACTTCTGTACGGAAAAGGTTGCATTATTGCTTTATCCTGATATTTATTAATTTTCTAACGCAAATTTTAGTAAACTAATACTCAAAGTTGTGTCTAAATCTGATTGAATCCATGTCTTGTCTTGTCGAGTTGGGAGGGTTTGCCAAAATATCATCATGTCACTGGATCCAATCCCTAAAATCTGTTAACGTACATTAGGAAACTTCTTCTGAACCGAAACCCATTATAACTGCTTATCCAAACAGCTCTGATGAAAGCCCACCTTGAAATCACCCAAGATGTCTCCCTTGACACTCATCAGATCCGTGGGGCATCAGAGCTGGGCTGCTGGTTAGGAATAATTTGCCTTTGGAAGACAGGCTGGAGAAACAGGCCCAGGGTTCCCACAACACACACTATCACAAAGATCCACAGGAACATTCGATCTACCACCATGGCCACATACTTCCAGTCCTCTATCACCTGCAAAAACACAAAAGTCATGTTTATGAGTGGTATATTTTTCCCTTATTTCTTGTTGTGCTTATTTCTTCTTGAACTTATTTCACAGTATCAATAACCATTTTTTCTCTTTATTCCAATATACGCTTGGATATACACTTTTTCACAGTTCTAAAATGTTTAGAATGATCATCTGCATACTGGTGAGAGCTACACTGACAAGCTTTTGACCTTTTAACCTCTTTGTGATTACTTTCCCAGGAATTTGAGACAAGTAATTTCTCATTCCAGGTTCCCTCCCTTTTTGATTGATTTGTCATCAAAGCAATCGATTAACCAAAGTCTGCATGCATAGGCTATAGGCCCTATTTGGGGTTAGTGATATTCCTACCTACACCTAAAGGGTCACCGAGTGTGCAATAGATGACATTACATCAATAAATAATCCACAACTGAAAGACCATTGCACTGATAGCTAAGTCTGGATGTCAAACATTTACAACTGCCTATTTAGCGAATCTGTAAAATAATCTACTCCCTATAAAAGTTTTCGATCAATGAAATTGGTTCATAGCATCAAGGCGACAGGTTTTCTGTCTTATCCTCCTGAGACCCTGTGTCCTCATAAGAGGACGTTGCATTTTTGTCTCTCTTTACCATGATACTTCTTTTTTTCTTTCAGCTTTGACCTCTTGGCCTCATAGCAGATGCTATCAGACACTGTTTGAAATCTAAAGTAAAATGGTTTTATACATTTCCATCCAATCATGTTCTTATTGTGTAATAGAAAAAATGTCAATAAGTCAATGGGACTGTCAGAACAAAATTGTAAAAACATTTAATTAAATATGTATCTCATATATCTTTAAAAAAAAAGCTAAAATGCATGCCAAATAAAAGCTCGGGTCTCAGGAGGTTATTATTACATATATCATTACAAGCTGCTAAAATCATATATACTAAAAAACATTTTTATTTCTAAATTTACTGATAGTTTGATATTTTAACTTCAAATTGAGTCTCTTTCATTTGCTGCCAAGCTTTGGTTCTCAGCTAGGACAACCATCTCCTTCATCCAGTCAAATGAAATTGATTTAACCATTAACAGATTTGACTGTTTTATCGTCAACCGCTGCTAAAGAATTAAATTAATTCTCGTAGAAGCAGTGATAAAACAAAATTTATCGTATGGCAATGATTTTTGGTCTTTGCTAATTTTTGGGATATTTACATTAATAATTTAGTTAACAAGGCATTGCTTTTATTTGAGCTTTCATGATCAAAGAGATAGACAATTACAATTCTAATGCAATCCGCTGTATTCCACATGAATACTGTAACTGCACTAATAAATATAAAAACTAGAAAATGTAAATTTGTCTAATGAATATACAATGTTTAATAACCTCATAAAACAACACAAAGTAAGTTCCATTTGAGAATAAAAATAAGTTGAAGCTTTAGAATATACTGTATTTAACTTTCATCCAATCCTTAATGAGAGTGAATTGAGATGACATTTGTTGTGATTTCACAGAACTGAAATTACAGAAATAAAAGTAAAACTGAATTGACTGGACAAAGTGTCAATATGCATACATACACTCTGATCATCATCATCTCCCATCATGTGTTCAGCTACAAATCGAACCCCATTCACCGCCTCCTGGACATCAGCAGCCCAGTCTGAGTTGTTCTTTTGATGGAGATCCTGCGTGGAAGTGAAACCACTTTGGAGACAATCTATGGAGCGAAAGTCCTCTTTTCTGTTGGTTTGGCTATATCCCATCGGAGCAGCTACATTTTTGCGGCCTGGAGTGGAAAAGGCAGAGTCAATGGATAGCAGGGCGGAGGAGGACAAAGTGAAATCTGTTTTGGTACCAACTGGGTAATCCTGACCCAAAATGCCTCTCTTGGCCCGTAAGCATCTCTGTTTGCGCAATCTCTGACGTGCAGAGTAGTTTTGAGGGCGTCTCATGAAGAGTAAGGTAGGCAGTTTAACAAGAAATATCAACTTGACCCAGGGGGGCATAGTGTGGGTGCTTGGGGACCGGTGGTGGACGTTGAGCACGCAAACGCTGGTGATTATAGAAAAGGTCACCAGCACCATGGTGAACATCAAGTACTTGCCAATCAGTGGCACATCCAGTGATGTGGGAGGAACAATCTTTGATATTAAAAGCAGGAACACTGTGAGAGCCAGAAGCACAGAAATACAAAGGGTCATCTTCTCTCCACAGTCCGAGGGCAAGTAGAAGACCAAAATGGCCAAAGATGTGATCAAAACGCATGGGATGATTAGGTTAATGGTATAAAAAAGTGGCTTCCTCTTGATGATGAAGTCATATGTGAGGTCCACATATGTGGGATCCAAAGGGTTGACGGTGCGTCGGCCTGGCAGCGCCAAGATATCCCACTCTCCACTGGGAGTGAAATCATCCATACTAGCCACCTCAGACTTCAAGATAAGGTCAATCTCTGTGTGGTCATAAGTCCAAGAGCGGAACTTGAGTGTGCAATTCTGCTGGTCAAAAGGGAAATGTTTGACCTCAATCTTGCAAGCACTTTTATAGATGGCCGGAGGGAGCCAGTTGATGCTGCCATTGAAAAGGACAACGGCATTGGTGAAGACTGTTACCTCATAGGTTCCATCAGCACTACAGGCAAAGGAAAAAGAAAATCAGCTTTAAAGATATCAGTCAATCACACATGAATGTATTGTCTATTCTGCTATCCTTTTTAAGATGAGGGGCCCCATGATCTAACCGGGTATAGCTTGAGCTCTAGGGGTAAAAACACTCTAACTGATCATTTAAACCATACATTTGTACCTAGAGTAAAGACTAAAAAAAAGACTGAATTCTGCAGAGGCATCAAATAATCTTTTTAAAAAATAGCATAAAGAGCATATGCAAGAGGAATAAGGATGGAGAAAGACTGCTGACTACCAGTTTTCTGTAATGATTTATGCGATGGCACATTGCCTCAAATTTCAGTCTTGCAATAATTTGGTCCAGAAATCTTTAATGAACTCCTGTAGCTCACAGTATATACCAATAATCTACTGGAGCTGTTTTTTTTCAAATTTATTTCGATACTTATTCTTAATATTTTACAAACAGAAAAAACCTCACATGGAAGCTTACTTGTTGTATAGGACTATATCCGGGAGCCAAATGTGTCTGGATGGAATACGCAGCTTGTCAATGCCTTCATACTTTGCAGGGTCCCAAGATAACCTGTAATCAACCCAGTGCTGGAGAGACAAAAGGACTTGGTCATCAAGTCTTATTTCTGAATTCATTACACTTTGTCAGTACCGACTCATTTCTAATTACATGCCTCATTATCAGTGAAATATGTCTGAAGCACAATTACCGAAGCAGTTTGTTCCACATTGGAAGAGGAAGAATGGATACGGTTTAATTGAAGTTCGGGAAGAAGGGCATTTACAAAGACAAAGGGCTTCTTAGAGAATTTGGTGCTGAACTGTATAGCACTTACCTGAGTGAGCCAAACATTTGTGGTCATGATCTGCTCTCTTTCATTCTGGAAACATACATTTTCAGGGGAAAAAATCGGTACAGATTAAAGCATAAATGCAATAAACACAGACAGAATGACAAAACCATGCAATAAGTTGCTTGTCTAGTAGTTCATCATTACTGTAGCTCATTAAACTTTCAATCTGCTTAGAATTTCTGAAGAAAGTATGGAGGGGTAAATGGTGGAGTTCATTACATCACTGCCATCAAGGGAATTTGTCTAACCTTCTATATTTTACATCAGACATATGTTTGTTTGTTTGTCATTTTTTTGTTTTATTTAGTATGTCTGTTTAGATATTTTTTGATTGCACTGTCATCACATGGATTTTGCATACACTTCCAATAAAGTGATACCAAATGGCATTTACCCCATGAGGGGTGCAACGCAAACTCATAAACTGAGGCTGTGAATGAGTCCCCTGCTTGGCTTGCGACTAGGAACAACCTCCACCATAAATCAGAAAGAGGCTTCGATCACTGTGGGTAAAACAGCTTTATGGCCTCTTTTAATCCAGTGTGCTGAAGTTTCTATCTGGACATGGCAGAGGCAGATATCACAACTGACCAGATCTATTTTTCTCTTCATCTATCCATTTAGAACTATGATCCTGAGGCACAAGACACTTTGAAATTTCCATCATCCTTGTTTTTTCATCCCATCTATGCTTCCTTGTCTAATCACATTGTCTTTGCCTCAGATTTTATTATAATCAAATATATGAAAGACAACACTCTATTCTGAAAAAGTTTAGAATTATTTGGCCTTACCACACTAATTAACTGGGCTAGGGACACCTGCAACTTCACGGTGACCCTCTCGCTCCTGTTGACAGCTGGGCGAATGAGTGGGTTGTAGCGATCTTTTCCCAGCAGCGAGTTCATTAAACGCTCCTCCGAGTCAGCACTATTGCTACCTGGTGACACAATTTTGTTCAATAATTGTATTCAATGGCGTACATCAAAAACATGTGTTTCCAGACAAACCCTACCATCTTACCATGGTGGCAGAGCTGTGAAGAAACAATTAGGTGCATCTGGCTCTAGGTGTGTATACATATAGCATATCGCCCATTACTCCACAGTCCTAATGATAACTACTAAAACTCTGACAAAACACATAGCAATGGAAAGACAGTGAAGTCCAAAGTGTATGGAGCCATCATGTTATGGAAGAAATATGAGTTCGGGGTGGTGTCAATAAGTGGCCAGCAGCTGTTATGTTCTGCATTGCGTATTTTAGCAACTTGAACAGTTAAACACTTGACTTTTGATTAGAATTTGTCTATTGAGAACCCGGTCTGCCAGCTGTTCATACCAGTAATGGAAATACATCAAAAAGAATTCAAGAATAAAAATGCCAGCATAGATTTGTTTTTGCTTCAGTGTCTCTTTTTGTGATTTTGACCATTCATGTAACAGCAATTAATTTGAACCTGAGGAAATTCTGTCAGGCTGTAAAAGAAAGGCCCAATACATATTCTTTAAAGGAAAGCTGTGGCCTTTTATGGAAATGAAACAGGACTATTATGTCAAGCTAAAAGTAATTTCCAAATTAGTTCTTCTTGGAATGAGTTGATGTTTTAATATAGCAAAAAAAAAAACTTTATTCGAAAGGATAACCATGGTGCATTTTCAACGAAAAATATAAATACCAAAATACACCTAAAGGCTCATTCTGGCCTATTTCACCACAGGAAAGAGGGTGAAAAAATGTCAAGCCTGTCTATTCTTCAAAGGATCACAATGGATGCAAGTGGCACTGCTTTAGCCATCAGGGTTGTTTCTAATTAAATACCTGAGTCAATGTTTAGAACAGTGGCTGATTTGACGAAGTCAGAGAAAACACTCCAATGATGTGACACATCAACATGCAGAGATATTTGTGGCTACAGAATATGCCTTCCACAAATCTACGCAATTCTATTCCGTAGCTTTAGCAAAAGTCTTGCTGAGAATCAAACTGTGCGTATCATTATCAGCTTTTGGACTCGTGCAGCTTTGAAGGGTGCGGCATAGCAGCAGCGTAGTCCCCCACAGGTCAGCGCACACTGTCACAACTGTTCCTTTTTCACTCACTTGGCTGAGATCCCACCCAACGGGGCTTCTACGGCCCCATTCAACAGATGGCTTGTTGTCAAACCTCTTGGAAAACAGAGTCAAACAAGCTCTTCTTTCCCCAGAGGTGAACTCCACGTGCAGAGCAAACAGTCTGGCATGGGTTACCTGCTGTGTACAGTCCCTAATGCCTGCATGTGTGTGAGTCTAATGTACAAAGGAGGCACGCTCCACCACTGGTGGTACACTGATTGAGAATGAGGTCAGGCGTGTTAAAAGAATGTCAGAGTAAGCTATTTTGGAGTTGATAAGGTCATTCTGTACTGTAGTCTGAAAAAAGACAAAATCCAACAAAAATGAAAAATTAAGGAGCAGGGCAATGTTTCCCTTTTCTCCTATCTTTTTCCTATAATTATCTGAAATGACAAAAAACTGGGACATGTATCTATTTATCTTCGTTTTTCTTATTGCCTTAGAGATCTGTGCACAGAGAAATTTGATAAACAGACACACTGAGAGTGATTCAACACATGAGTGTTTAGTTACAAAGCTTTAGATTTGGGTCTTCGTTTAATTTAATAAATTAGAACTATACTGTCACACAAAGTGCAAACACATTAGGCTACATGTTATTATGCCAAGTCCATTCATGTTACATTTTAAAGAACAGAAAAAAAGGTTATTATATAGATATTAAATTATCTTAACCATGAACTTTAGATATTGGGTACATTTTAATTTGTTTGTTAATTCCAAATAAGAATAATTCCAAAAATACTCTCTCCACATGCCATATTTTAGATGACTGACTCCTCAGATTACCTTAAATGTTCGAAATATATTATGCTGTTTCTTTTATACTGTTTGTTATCAAAACAGTAAGCGACGAATTGTGGAATAGTTTATGATAAACATAGTTGAATCATTTCCCCCAGCCGCTACAATGAAAACTTATCTAATTTTCAGAAGGCGCAATTCAACTTCATGACATGAAAATGGAAACACATCTCTGCAGAAACACTTCGACAAAGCAAATGAAAGAGGAGCTAGAGCCAGTTAAGATTGCATTCATTCTTTGCGAAGGCACGGAATGAAATAAAAGAAGACACACTTACAGACAACCAAAGCGAAAAGGTGACCGAGAATGAGGAGAGCCCGCGTCATGTTGACGGCATCATCTACTTGTCGGGAGTTGTCCGGGATGACGCTCCAGAGCGGCTGCGCTCCGCGCTCTGCCCATCGGACGGTGGTGTGGTCAGCAGCGCTGTCCAGAAGCCTGCCGTCCCGCCGTGGGCTGGCTGTGGAATTCCCCGAGCCTGGATTAACCTCACGGGAGTCCGGAGGAGAGCTGCACGCTGCTCTGGTGAGCTGGTCCTCTCTGTGTTTCCCCAGAGTCCAGCAGGAGTGGTGTCCGAGCCCCGGACCCTACAGCAGCCCCACACGGCAGGTCTGGCAGGGTTGTTTCCTTATGCTGTAGCTTATATCTTTAAAGATGATTACGCTGTTTTGAACAGGAAAAATGAAATGGAAATGTTTCCATCAAAAGTGCCCCCCCCCCCCCCCCAACCCCCACCAGAACAGATGGCTCTTTTCAAACCTGAGAAAAAAACAACGCCCCATAAAGTCAAAGCTAGGGTCAGGATTCCCTAAATATTGTTTTGTCTTTATTTTCTTACTGCCATTTGACTCCAACATTTATTCCATGCAGCATTACCTGTTTCATCCTCATACATGCCATCCTCCCTAACACTAACAATTCACATTTAGGTTATCACATTTTGGCCCACATCTGGTCCGGACAGCCACCACAACTTGCCAATCTTGGTGTCCTAAGAATACTTGCTGACTTCCATTTGCCTACAAGTGAACAATCAATTTTTCCCTGTATATGAGATTTAGTGTGGTGAGGGCCACACAGTCAGACCGGCACCAGAGCAATCTGAGCATAGCAGATTTACAGTCACCAAGCAGCTGAAAGCATCACTGAGCAGTGAAGGAGCTGGATCAGTCACTCAGAGCAGGCCCAAGGACTCTCCTGAGGCTTTAGTAATGAGCCCCTAACACCTTTGTTCAGGATTGTAGCAAGCAGATCAGTGGGGGCTGATCAGGTTTTCACACAGCATGGCATTTTTTCTTTTTACCAATCTGCGAATCACTCATTAATCATTTTGTTTTCGCAGAGAGTTTTTATACTTGAAGTCATCAATTGATAAACCTTTCAACTTTTTCAGAAGTTAGTCTTCCTCTTGACGTGAGGTGATCGGTTTAAAAAAAATTCAAGGCCCTATGAGCTGAATTCATATGCAGCTACAGAATTGCCCATTAACATATTGCAGTCATCATAAATCACTTTATCATTTTGCTGAGACATAAAGAGAATGATTAAAGATCCCTTCAGAGCATGTTTAGTTCCATCACAGAATCACTTAGCTAAAACGGAATCGCATATGCAGGGTACTAATATCGTAATTGGTGGCTGTTTTTCTTTTTCTTTTACCTTTTCATGTACATGGTTTGACTCTGTAGAGTAAACCATGAGCCCATAAATATGCTATGATGAAAACTGAGAATAAGCAATGGCAAACAGTCTTGTGATGCCTCATATTTCCATGTTTGATATGACTCATCTTTTTTTTCATACCATGCTTTCATTAATAAAACAAAATAAATGTTGACAAAACGTCCTAAATAAATGATCAGTTTCACTTTAAAAAATTAGTTTGCAAAGGACTGGACAGCCAGCTCAGAATTTGCAATGAACATCTGTAGTGTCATGAGTGGTGAAACATGACTGCTCAATGAACCGTGAGCCAGTTCATTTTGTAAATTGCTGCATATTTGATTATATTGGTGGTGGCAATTTACAGAGACACATACTGTGAAATGCTCAATATCTACAATACAATTACTAATTGGAAGGCAGGAAGTTTGTTTGTACATTGGATTAAAGCCCAGGGTCAGTAATAGGATTCCATCCAATATATCTTCACTGATAAGCAGATAAATAATTAAGCTGTTCATTAAGGGAAAGAAGGTTTTTAACTCTTTGGTTCCATTTGCAAAGAGAATTCTCAGAATGAGTTTCTTAAATTTAAGGTGCATAATAGCAGCATTCTACACTACAGTTGTTCATACATATAGATGTAACACAATATATTTTATTTTCTGGTAATCCTGCTTCAGTCCCTTACATCTCTGAAATAATCACGTACATACTCACACATATTGCAGTTCATTGAACAGCCAAACAACTTATTAGCCCAAATCAAATGAGTATCAGTATTTGTTTACTTTTTTTAATTTAATGTAGACAATTTTGGTCTAACATCTCCAGAAAGCCCCGATGTTGTCTAGAAAAAAGCCTCCAATTTGAAAAGTGAAATACACTTATGGCCCTTTTCACGAATCAGATGTAAGAGGATGTGTGAGGGAGTGTGTGTGGTGACAGAGACTGGCGGTTTGCGTATGTGTGTGAGTTTTCTGCATGCCAGGGAAGCGTGATGGAAGAGAAATGGATAATCAAAGAATTGCTGCTGTTGCAGTACCATGTTGCACCACTGCAATCTAACCCTGTGAGGGATATATATCAAGCGGGCAGTTCATTACCTGAAGTGCTCAGCTCCTGTGCCAGGGACTCCCAGCCTCATGTGTTGATATTGATCACCTGCTGCACTGTCCCATAGCCTGCAACGGGATTAGCCAATCTCAAAGGTTTATGAAGGATGTTTAAGTATCAAAGTCCATGAAGGCAGCTGAAAGTTTTGGACTTTTTATGAGTGAGTTTATATGGAGAGGAGTTTGTGCTTAAGATGCAAGTTAGTTGTAGCATAGCAATATATCAAGAATACATAGGAATGCATTTTAAAAGACATTTTAAGGAGTGAAAGTATGCAATACAGTTGTGCTTATTCTGACAGATCATGTTACACGTACCTTACTAGCTTTGACTTTTTTTGAGGGAAGTGAAAAAAAGTCAAAGCTAGTAATTAGAGGGGCGAGTAAAGATCTACACTGGAAGGTAAGTGCAAAGAGTCAGTGGATTAAGTTTGTTTCATTATACTAGGCAGTCGGTAATGGGTGGCCTCCTGTGAGGAGATATTGTCCATTTATTTATGTATTCTGCTTCTCAGCAATAGACTGGAAGGTAAAGCCACTCCCAAGTTTGGACTTCCATGTGCAATACAGTAAGATTAAAGAATATTGATTGTTTTTAGGTGGAACCTGTAGTTGTACTCTGCAGTGCCATTTTTTTCCAACTCATGGGTGGGCGTTAAACAACACCTGTCTTGAAGAACACCCCAACAAATCGCAAAAGAATCGATAAGTCTGGGATATATCTGATCTCTCCACATACTGCAAGAATTCTGATTTAGAGCTGGCCTTGTCCTGGCGTCAACAGGCTAGGAGCCTGTCTGTTTTTTTTTCTTTGTGCTTTTTTCATGACATTGAAGCCTCTAAAGAAGACTGAAAATTGAAAGCCTGGCTTACAAAATTGCATGTCAAAGATTATTAACTGAAAGGCTGGCAGAGCAGGAACTGGAAGAAATAAATTAGCTACATCTTCCTAAATGGGTTTCTGGGGACGGAAAAAAACAGTAAATGGTTTATATCAGTCTTACTTAATACTATAAAGTCTTCATATGTAGTATGGACGATATTACATGTCCATGCGGTAAAATATTGTTTTGTTTGCTCATGAGTAATTTGAATGACAAAACACCTCTTTGGCTCTCCTGTGTTAAAAGAACTGTAAAATTGAGCTCATTTGTCACTGTGTGGGTGTTTGCACAGGCGCAATTTACTGAAATTCATCCCCACCATTGTAACTGACCGGAATCAATTATTTCTGCCCTGGATGAGATCTTAATGGGCTTGGGAAGGTGTGCTGAAGGGTATCTAGACAAGAGCATGCATAAAGACAAGAACGTGGCCAAGTCAGAGATACGTGGTAGAGACAAAACCAACAAAGAGACAAGTCAGACAAGTGAGAGAGACTCCAAAAACATCAAGATGGTGAGAAAAAAGATACAGTTAATACCATTGAAATACTCATTGCAGGATAATCACACGTCAGGGCAAGTCAACATCCCATAAGATGTTAAATATTTATATTTGCACACCATCCTAATTGATTTTGAGTAAAGAGAGAGGAAAGACATCTTGAAAAATATGTTTCCATTATCGTAAGATATCTAATGTATAATCATAGCATCCAATAACTCAGTAGAATTGATATTCATAGATCCACCACACATTCATGGATGTGTTCAAACAAGCAGAAAAACTATTCTTGGTTTAAAAAAAAAAGAAACCATGCTTAAGATCTATGCAGGTCCCATGCACTTTCAGAATTAATATAATTTTTCCCCCAACTAAAGGCTAATGTATATATGAGTTAAGTCAAAATATTTGTTTCAAATCAAACAAGCATCATACAACATGAGATATTGAACATGAAAGAAACATCAGTTGTATTTTAGAGCATATGGGTTTGTTCATTTCATGTAACATAGCTCACAATTCTTCTAAACCCTGTTCATTTTGGAAATGCAATTTCCTGTCTGTCATTGATATAACAGCATGAAAAATCCTAATGCAAAATTCAATCCGCTGAACTCATTTGTGTTGAACAGGAAGAACGGTAGACATTGGTGCTGGCTGGACATAATTATGACGGAGTAGGACTGACAGTGCTACTCCGGTGCTATGGACCTTGGAAGCTGAAGCCGTCTCCTGGGGCTCTGTAGGGTCAGAGCTGTGCAGATTCAATCAATGCCTATCAATGATGCACATGGAAATGACTCACATGGGCTCAACCAGGAGTGTCAGATGGGTTTTGCACCACTGGAATGGCAGTTCCCATGGGAGGCGCACAAAATGACGTTCACTGGGATGACATTTTTGTCATGACTTCAACATGGCTAGAATAAAAACAAAACTCACTCCAAATAATTTTCAAGAAATTGTTTTTTTAAAGAAGAATTCTAATTAAATTAACAGTTTATGTCGACTTCATTTTTGTGATTTTTCTATGTACTATCTAGAAACAGCTGTTGGAATGGTATTACTGAGCTGTAGGTGACCGGAGCCTTCATGATGTAACTGCACCCTTCATGCCATTTCTTGGTGGATAGGATTTAATGGCGCCTGTACATTTGGCCTGGATTGTATCTCCATGATTCAATTGGGTGCCTGTGTTACCATCAAACCAACTCTCAAGGGGAAAAAATAAGAGGATCGGGCTTCTCTGTCATCCACAGGACCCTGGGGACCACAGAGGCCCTCATCATCCCAGATAATCCCTGGAGGGGGGGCTTGGTGTGGATGGTGTGGTGACTAATTGCAGCATGTCTGTCTGGACTTGCAGCTAATGATGGAGGGCAGAGATAATCAACTAACCACTGGCAATGTGGCTGGTAGTT